TAACATAAACCACATGATTTCAAGGTAGAATAACTGCCAACATGAAAAACATTATCTTCTACACATTTTTGTACTCTGAAACAAATTAGAATTGTGATAACCTTAATGAATCCATCCAGCACGGCATTTTGGCACTTGTATTTATGTTGCCATTCTGTCAAGTTCAAGCTGTGTCGTAAGACGTGTTTTACATATGTTTGAAGGTAGATCTTATTGAAAACAATTGCACCACGCAGTAAAAAAAATAGATATCTCACCAAAACAACAAACCTTGAAATAAACTGCAATACATAACCAGCAGGGCACCTTTGATTTCAATGTACAGGAACATGTCAGATTTTATCTAAACCTGTTCCATGTAACTTCATGTAAAAAGATATTTGCTGGCACAGCAATAGAACCCATAAATCAAACTTGGGGTCCTGAATACAGCTGTTTATCAATGGTTCCTTTACGAATTTACAAAATAAAGATAACATCAACTGACCTACATGGTGCAACCTGTTGATTCTCAATCCTGGAGAAAAAAAATTGATCACAACCTGATAACAGATCAAGCATGGCACTGAATCAGGACAGCGTAACAAAGGGCTACTTAACACCGGTTGTTTATGTATCCCAGAGCTGACCTAACACTGACCAGGAGCATAAATATTATGACCAACATACCCAAGCACCGATTTGTATCAGCTTATTTGGCACATCCTTTCTCTGCAGGAGTTCCCAGTAGGTTTGTACTGCAAACAGAAGGACTGAATCTTCTCCTCTTAGTGAAGCATCTGTAATTAGTTTATTTTTAAGGTGAACAGATTCTGAATATTATAATAAGAAAAATTAACAATGGCTTACGTCAGATAAAATTATTGACAAAAATATTATTTAGTAATTATCTAAAATAAAAATATATATTTAACAATATTCATATTTCAACGCGCAAATCAAAAAAATAATTAAAATAGTTTAAAGTTATATTTTGGATTTAGCCAATACAAAATATTTCAAGACAATAGAACACATCAATTAGTCTTTTGACATTAAACAAATCTACAAACGTACCTTTGAGATTCTTCCCTTACCTTTTACTAGTTGTATCAAAGAAGTAACTGTACTTTGGGGGACCAAAGAGTCCTCTAGCAGCACCATTCTATTGACTATCTCTATGCACCATTGTACATTGGTAGTATATGTAGCACATGTTCAGGAAATGATCACATGAGAACAAACTAGGAAGCAAAAGGCATACCACAACCAGTATTGAATCATCAATATACATCCTGAGAAGACATTTTTGATGTTCTATATGTATTGTATACTGTGCACTGGCTGTACATAATAACACTGTTGTTATGTATTATATAATATACAACAAATTTTATACTCATCTTAATTCACTTCATAATGCATCAAATACTTGTGGAAACCCGAAACCATCCGACATTTTTTCTGTCAATGCCCACTGAAACAGAGGAAATATTGCGATCTCTACGAATCTTTTGAAGATACACTTGGTGTAACTTACTCATATTTCAGAACCCAACTAGATAAGATATCCCTCTTCCTACATGGCCATAAAACACTAACATCTGGACAAAACGACAAAATTTTCGAAATAGTGTCTGATTTCTTAATTAAAAATGTCTGAATCTTCTTCCATTTCTGTTCTGGCGCCTACCACTCACTCCTGATGGCCTATTGCCCCTCC